ATTGCTGCTGCTGGCAGACTCCTATAGCACCTGACACGTGCCACTGCTGTCAGCCTGTTACAGTTCTGAGAGACGCATCTGAATGTCTCTCTTAGACAAAATCTATTAGTGCAGTGTCAGCACAGTGAAATCTTCTCAGGCTAAATATTGTAAAATCCATGTGCCTTTTTTCTTTTGTGTAATAAATGGAAAGTTTGGACCATCACTAGAAAACGAAATTCACCTGCTGCATTTATGACAGTGGTAGGAAGTATGGAAAAAAGCAATGCCAGTATAAATATTGACATTCAGAGCTCTGAGGATTCATAGTTATTGTATAAAACTAGAAAATGTGCCCATGAATGCTGCTCAGACAGTCTGGCTGTTGTGTAGAATACTATATAGATACTTTTTATTCTGTGTTTTCTGCTTAAAAGAATTTTGAGAAGCTTAAAATTTGGTTTCCTTGTCTTTCAGTCCCAACCTGATCAGTTTGACAAGCACAGTCCACAGCTGCTTATTTAGGACTTGGTGAGAAAATCTTTTATAATTCCCATGAGTAGCAGCATGATCAGGATCATGCTGGAAAACACATCCTGCTTGTCAGGGAAAGGTCTTTGTGCAGCAGGTCCCATCTTCACCTTTTCAACCCTCAAAGAATAACAACCTCTGCATCTCTTCTGATCTTTTTAGAACCTGTGCTCTGTCCTGTTCATGTGAGAAAACAAAACATGGCATTGCTGCACTTGGTGCTACAGCAGAGTTTTGTGACATAAAGGGTACTTTTTTGTAACATTAAGTGTTCTTTTTGTCTAAAACCAGCCACAGCCTATCCCATGCCAATGAGAGTTTATGGTCAGCTTATCTGTACAGTTTATCAGATGGTTTTGTTATGAAAAAGGGAGAAATTAAAAAAAATCATATAAAATTCATCGTTTAGGAGGTGTATCCATCTGTTTTAAGATTGCATTTTCTGTAATGTCTTTCTTTATGGATTATTTCACAGGAGAAAGTGGTAACAGTTGTTGAGGATTTTTCTCTAGTTTTTCAGTCTTCCCAGTGGTATCTTAAGGATTCATGGAGCCAGTTATTCTTCCATCATGTAAAAATTACTTAGAATTGCCTTGCTTAGAAAGCCAAGTGGAGAAATATTCCAGCAGTAGAGTACAAACACTCAGGAATATTTGCCAAAGAGTAAAATAGGTTTGATTTTCACAATAGCTGGAAAGAAGTGTGTTAACAGTACTAAGAGTGTAAGAGTTGAGGAAGTGTCTGGGTGATGCTCTTTGTCACTGTAGAATCCAAGAATGGTTTGGGCTGGAAGGGACCTTAAAATTCATCTCATTCTACCCCCTGCCATGGGCACATTCCACTGTCCCAAGGACCCATCCAGCCTGGCCTTGGACACTTCCAGGGATCCAGGGGCAGCCACAGCTGCTCTGGGCACCCTGTGCCAGGGCCAGCCCAGCCTCCCAGGGAGGAATTTCTAATATCTAATCTATCCCTGTCTTCTGTCAGTTTAAAGCAATCACCCCTTGTCCTGTCACTAGGGATGATGGAATTTTATGTGGTCCTGCAAGGAACCGGAATTTGGACTCGATCCTTGTGGGGCTTGAGATCCTCTGTGATTCTGTTTGTTCTATTCTGGTCCTTCATGTTAATTTTGTTTTCTCACACTCTTTGCATTACTAGAATTCATGTCATTTTCAAGCTCTAACAGTGTTCAGCCTTCTGAGCTGCAGACAGGAGCTGTGTTTTCTGTTCTAACAGCAGGAGAAAGGCACACCCCAGTTCCCTTTGTGTCTGCACAACTGGGCCTGGTTTTAGATTCAATAAAATATACCCATGGTCAAAAACTTTGGTTTTTGTTTGGAGCCTGAACTACTTTTTTTTTTCTTTTTTTAAAGTGAGAACCCTTAAGCACATTTTTCCATGTCATTCCCAAGTCTGGGGTTCAGCTGGATATCCCAGGGGCAGCAATCCAGTTCCAGATGTGCTGGTTGTTGGGGGAGCCTTTGGTTCCTCCTCTCTGTCTGGAGGAGGTGGGAGAGTGTCTGAAAGGGAGCACCAGGCCAGGCAAAGCTTGTGATATAAAATAGTGTTGGGATGAAATGGGGTTTAAAATATGGCTGTTCACAATTACATGTGTACAAGGCCAATCTGTCACCACGTTTGCTTAATCAAGGTCAAACAGAGATTTTAATTAAAATAGTGAGCTCATAACATCAGGCTGGTCATCTGTAACTGGCAAGTGGGTTTTGTAACAGAGAGAAAAAAATGTTCTCATTTATGTGCCAGTTTTGCTAAATAATGGGGAACTTGTTTAGAGTGCTTGCAGTAATTTGGCACAGAGTGATATTAAAAAAGTTAAAGCTTTTGCTCCAGTTGGTGCTAGTAGGAAATAATTAATTATTTTCAGTGAGGTGGGACTGATTCTCTAAACACTACTGGAACAGCTGCTTATCTTAGTTCCTTAAATTCAGAAAGCAGGAGCAGCAGTTTAAATTCCTACTTCTATTACATTTTACAGCACCTGTTTTTTTAGTGGTAGAACAAGGGGAAAATAAATGGGAGAAAGAAGGGAAACCACCATCACTTTTTTTTTGGTGGGAATGATTTGGATTGAGACAAAAGTAGGGAAGATGGGTGTGCTGGGTGACATGGTAATTTAAATCTGTTTGGCAAGAGTGGTTACTAAACTCTCTTCATGCCTGCCTAGTAGGATAAACTGCTCTATTAATTAAGCTCAATCCCATAAATCTCTTCTAAGTTGCCATCAAATCCCAAAGTAACCTGTCTCATGTTGTTATTGAAGTCTGCAGCCCAGGAGAATGGAGTTTAATATTTCATTTGTCTTGTGTTCAGCTATGATGTGGCTTGTAAGATGTAGTTTTTGCACTGGGAATAAAAATAACCAAATCTCTCTTTTAATTGCCTTGCACCAAGAAATAAGAAATAAACTGCTTGTGATCTATATTAATTTGATTTTTAATGAAAATGTATCCACACATGTTTCTTGAAAACAATTTTCATAGAGAAATAACTTTGTAAGTCAAAACATAATCAGTCTGGCATTTCATATCAGAAAAAGATTCTGGCAGGAGTTATGGAATAGTGCAGAATTAAAGCAGAAACAGATATTACACAGAAAACATATCTGGCATCACTGATTTTTGTTCATGTTGGATACCTGCTGCAATTACAATTCAGATTGTTTTTCTCCAGAGGTAAAACACACAACTCCTGCAGTCAGTCTCAAGGAGATAGAAGGATTTGTTGTGAACAGTTAAAGGAAATGAAATCAAGCATAATTTCAGTTGATCCTTTTGTACAACAGTTTCTTTTTCTTCACTGAGCAGATCTTAACCTGCAAGAATTATCCTGAGGGGAAAATCCAATCTTCCTCCCATCATGCGGTACTCAAAGTCTTTCCTTCCTCTTTTCCTTGGGTCCGGGATTCTTCCAGTTCTTTGAGGAATCACCTTCAGGAGAGAGGGGTTTAGAATGACTCCCACTGAACTCCACATTTCTTACGTTGTAACATTTATGTGTTTCTTTTTCAGAGACAGAGATCACAGGATGGTTTGGGTTGGAAGGGACATTAAAGCTCAGCTGTTCCACCCCTGCCATGGGCAGGGCCACTTTCCACTATCCCAGGCTGCTCCAAGCCCCAGTGTCCAACCTGGCCTTGCACACTGCCAGGGATGGAGCAGCCACAGCTGCTCTGGGCACACTGTGCCAGTGTTTTAAGCTCCTCTTGATAAAAATATTCTTTTTTTGTCACCTGATTTTCACAAGAGAATAGAGTTTGTGTCCTCTGGGCTGAGGGCAAACCACATTAGAGTGTGGCAGAGGGAAGGCTAGGAAAGATTCAGGAAATTGCTGATAATCTTGCAGAGTTCAGCTCAGGTTTTCAAAGCCACAAGGTGTATGCTATTCATGTGGTTTCCAGCATGCAAGTGTTATTTACACTGACAGAGAGGGGGAAAAAGAATAATAAAAATCAGGCAGGCAGCCAGAACTCTGTAGATTTTTTTTTTTCCTTTTTTTTTTTTTTTTTTTTTTTGTAGCTTCCATCAAAGGGAGCTGCTGAGATGTCTTTTATCAGCTCGCTTTGCTTTCTCTCACAGAGGTGGTACTCAGTAGCTGGTTCCTGCCTCCTTATACTGCTTCTCAAACATCCAGGCACTCCTCAGGTGTCATGCAGACTTTCTTGAGTACCTTTGCCCATGAAGTTGAGCAAACTTTGCAATCAAACACCATAGGAGGTGTTGATTCACTGTTGCCTTGGAGTTTTCTTTATTCTGAGCCACCAAGAGCCCCACTCAGAGCCAGTTCCAGCAGTATCCTGGCTGCTGGGCATGGGAAGATCTCTGCTGTTTAAATTTGCTAATATTGTCTCAGCCAGTGCTTTGATTAGAAAATATATGCTGTTATTTTTCTCTGGTTTTGGGGGGTTAAGATCAGAAAATGAACAAGTGATTTGAGTTTTCCTCTTGCTAATTGTGTCATGTTAAGCATTAGAATCTGGCTGTACCACGGCACCTCGATCTGTGACTGGGATATTCTGCTGTGCCGGGCCACAGGACAGAGGAAGGGCTGTGCTGGAACACTTTGATTCATGGTTTGTGCTAAGGGCACTCAGTTGTCTTTATTTAGGATTTCTTTCCCTCACTCTCCAAGATGTTGAGTGCTGTTGTTCATATGCTTAAAAGAGGGAGCAAGTATAAACCTGATGATGAGGTTTATAAATGTTTATGAGGTTTATGAAGGCACTTTTAAAACAGAAAGCTGCTTTGTATTTTCACAGGTGTTTCTCAATTGGTAACACAGCCCCCAGTGCAAGAGGGCTGGAATTTAAGCACAAAAAACCCAAGCCCAATTCTTTCCAGTAACAGAATTAAATTCTTATATAATATTTGGAAAATGAGAGGGGGAAATTGTGCCTTTGTTACAAAAGGTTTTGGGATGGAAATCTGGACAACATTTTCTGACAGGCTGTGATTTGTTTCTGTCCCCAGAGCCTCCCACGCCGATCGCCCCCCCGGAGCTGCTGGCCGTGGGAGCCACGTACCTGTGGATCAAACCCAACGCCAACTCCATCATCGGGGACGGGCCCATCATCCTCAAGGAGGTGGAGTACAGGACCACCACGGGCAACTGGGCAGAGACCCACATCGTGGACTCCCCCAACTACAAGCTGTGGCACCTGGACCCCGACGTGGAGTACGAGATCCGGGTGTTGCTGACGCGCCCCGGGGAAGGGGGCACGGGGCCCCCCGGGCCCCCCCTGACCACCAGGACCAAGTGTGCAGGTGAGGGCTCTGCTGCTTCCACTCCCTAAGGGGTGCTCTGTCCACACAGGTGTAATTAGTGCTGATTCCATGATGCAGGAGGCTGAACATTGCTTTATCCCTCTATACTGTATTGCAGGAGCAATGGGGGGTAGGACGGTCAGGATGGATGGAGACGAGAGATCTCTGGAGCCAGGTCTTGCTTGCAGATTATTGCAAAGGGTGTGTGTGCAGGGGCCCTGCTGGGAGCTGCCAGCCTCAGCTCAGAGCAGGCCCCAAAGAGAGAGAAAGGTAAAGAGACTGGTAAAGAGAAAGAAGGCAAGAGCATGGTAAAGAGGATGAGAGAGAGCAAAAGAATAAAAGAGAGAGGACAAAAGAGTAAAAGAGAGAGAAGTTCCTGTTACAATACCATAAATCTTTTTCTGTGTTGAATATTCTAATTCTCACTAACCTATCTAATACAAGATACAAATCCTATAGCATTTACATACAGCCTATAAGAATCATTACATTACCATACTGTGTTACATTTTAAACCCTCAAAACTGCTCTTTGAACCCCTTTTGCCAAGCTAGTAGGGTCTGCTCTGACCCTTGGACGTCTCTGCAAGCAGAGGGTATTGTTTCTTCATAAGGGGATTACCTTCAGCTGGCCATACCATTGTTTTCCAGTTGTCCAGTAACTAAGGTATCTCAAAGCTTGCTTTCATTTCAGTCTCGCTTATAGTTTCCATATTCTCAAAATCTTTTGCCAGGCAATCATATTTATAAGGCTTTCCTGTTTCATCTTCCCCAACACTATATTATTACTATATTCTTAAGTAAACCTTCCAGCCTGTCCGATACACCTTTGACTTCATTGGTCAACCAACCAAAACACCACCACCCTTTGGTAAACAAATCTCCATTACACATTCCACATTTGCCTGGCAACAGGTGCAGCAAGTGGAGATAAGAATTGTTTTTATTGTTTTTGCAGGGTCCCCCATGGCAGGGAAGAATGATGAATCTGACTCCATGTTCTCAGAAGGCTAATTTATTATTTTATGATACTATATTATATTAAAGAATACTGTACTATACTAAAGAATACAGAAAGGATACTTACAGAATGCTAAAAGATAATAATGAAAACTGGTGACACTCTCCAGAGTCCCGACACAGCTTGGCCCTGATTGGCCAAAGAGTGAAAACAACTCACAGCAGAACCCAGTGAAACAATCACCTGTGGGTAAACAATCTCCAAACACATTCCACATGAGCACAACACAGGAGAAGCAAATGGGATAAGAATTGTTTTCCTTTTCTGTGAGGCTTCTCAGCTTCCCAGGAGAAAAATCCTGGGCAAAGGGATTTTTCCAGAGAATGTGAATGCCACAGTTTTAATTCTTTCTCTGAGCTTTCTCGCAGCCTTCCCCAGGGAAAATGCCTGGGAAGGTCTGTATCTGTGCCTGCTCTCTGTGGCCAGGGAGCTGCTGCCACAGTGCTCAGCCACACAGCCCTGCTGCAGGTGCTTCAGCACAGCTCTAAGCTGACACTGGGAATTTGGATACATCCTGAAATATTTTGTTTTGTTCCACAGGCAGGTGTTTTAAGAACTGTTGGTTTTATGCTTGTGGTTTATCTGATAAACTCTTGCCACAGTGTGAGGCTGCTTTTTGTTGGAATAGGTAAAGAACTTCTTTTTCTGACCAGTCCTGCAGTAAGAAAATTGTTCTTAAGACCAGGCTGTGATTGCATTTTCATGTCTAAGTGGCGAAAAAAATTTGTGTTCTTCTTGGATAGTGGATCTGCAGAGGATATTAACAAATTGACACTGATATCAGTTTGAGTGCCCTGTGGTGAAGGAGGAAAATTTGAAATAATATTTTTAATTATTATAATTTATCCAATAATTTAGAAATAATTTAATTTTATTTATTTAATTTTAATAGTAATTTTTAATACATTTTTGTATTTTTAAAAATTACCTAAAAAATTATTCCATTTCCCTCCTCATTTCTGACAAAAGACTGTGTTCAAACACTTGCAGCACCCTCCTTTTCTAGCTCATATTGGAATGGATCAGTGCTGATCCAGGGGCAGAAGTAGTCTATCTTTCTTTCTAAGCCATATTGGACTTCCTGTGAAAAACTGACGGATGATGTTGCTCATGTTTCAGATATATTGGCTATTCATCCTGTTGTCATACATTAATCATCAGCCATTAAGGGAAATCAAGCCCTGTGCCTGGCAAGGGGATGAGCAAAGCACTTTTCTGCCTCACAGGTTTTTTTCCTACCACACAACTTCATTTTCTTGAATTTTTGTAATTTTTGCAAGGTCCTTACCAGGGTGTGAACAAAGAACAGGGATTAAAAGTCTTCTCTCCTTTTGCTACAAACCCTCCTTTCCTCCCCACAAATTAGTGGTTTACAACATGTGGATTTAAGAAGTGAAACCCTTATAAGAACATTCTGTTTCGTGTTACTCTTTCTGATCAAACAGCAAATCTGAAGTGGGAAGAAGGCATCCAGAACACCCAAAACCATCCTAGGATGGGATTAAGCAGTACAATATTAGTGTTCCTTGTCCACTTCATGGGAGGAACAATTCTAGCAATATCCTTTCTCTACCAAGAGAGGAAGCCTGGCAGGCTGGCTGTGTTTTGGGTGGCACATCCTTTACTATGAAGGTTGTAAATTAGTGAACATTTAGTGCCCCTTTGGGAAGATTTGGTTAAAAATAAATAAGCCTGAACACAAGGTCCTGACGTGGAGGTGTTTGCTTGGTTTGGCACCTCTCCTTTGGTAGAACACAGACCTTAAAGGCTTTGCAGCAGCTGTATGGAAAGCTTGAAGTGTCGTGGATGGTATTCTGGCCTGATTGGGAAGTTGGCATGTGTTGTGCTGCTCACCTTCTGGATTTCTTCTCCTTTCCTAGCATGGTCAAATCCTCTGACATCACTAGAAGTCACTGCAGGCCTGGCCTGGGGCTGTGCATTTGCAGATGGAAATGTGACGTGCTCAGATTTGCTCTGGAGTTGATGTGTTGTCACTTTGCAGTCACACTCTATGCAGCAGCCAAACTTGCAAGCTTCTCTGCCTTACCTGTAAAAAATGCTGGGTTTGGCTCAATTCAGGAGTTAAGATAAAAAAAAAAAAAAAAAAAAAAGTTGGCTTTGTGCTTAATATTGTCTTGTCCTGTGTCCCAGATTGCTGAGTTTCCTGCCCGGTTCAGGTATTGACTGACTCCGACAAGGATGACGTGGATAATTTGTTCAAATTGGCAAAGCTGGGGCACTTTCTGTTTTCCATCCTATTTTACTAATGAAAATCTAACTGAAGAAGGTCATTCTGTTAATGTTAGCTGTCATACAGGCCTTGTTGAGATTGATGGTGATGGCATTTATGTTTTGTTTAGGGCACTGGGTAGGAGAAATTGTAATGATCTTGATCTAAGCGTGGACCAGGAGGGAGGGAGAGACTTAATAGCTAAAGATGTGCAATTGCACCAAATGCCAACTGAAGTGATAGACAAGAAAATGCAACTCATTATTCCAATTTCCATGTGTCGTGGAACTCCTTCAAAACACCATTTTGAGGATAATTACACAAAACTTTCACGGTGAAGATTTTCACAAATGTGCTGAACTGAGAAAACAGCTCTGCTGCCTTGATTTTCCTAAGAGTACCTAATGAATGACATCAGGGAAAATTGAGGGGTTTTAAAATAGTTGAGGGATGAGTGATGCTGCTTTTTTTAATGTGAATTTTTTGGTTGTTTTATTAGTTGTCTTTGCTTTTTCTGAGCAAGAGGGAAGTACCAACCTCCTACACATTTGTATGCAACCAGGAGGTGATTGGAGCGGCCCAGTTGTACTGCACTCTTGGTGTTGTGCTGTGTGTATTAAGGGCACAAATAAAGGTAACAAAATTGATTGCACAAGTATCACCCGTGCTGCAGAAGCATTTACTTATTTAAATTTCTAGAAATCAGTGTAGCAACAGAAAGTGGCTGCAACCTTCTAAGAGAGGGAAGTCAATATCCCTTGGACTGAATACTCTGCCCAGGCTATTTTCACATAGAGACTGTATTTTTATAATATTTTTGTTCTAGGGAGGCTGAGTAACTGCTGGCCTTCAATTCAAGCACAAGCTCCAATGAATGAGATTCTTATTTAGAGATGAAAATGAGAAGGATTTTGGAAGGGCCATGCTTCTCTTCCACTTCAAATCAAACAGCAGAAGTTCATTTACAAAGTTGCCCTTGCTTGTTTTGTTTATTGACTGTAAGCTTTGCATCAGAGCAAAAGCATGGCCAGGATGGTCCAGCATGAGCTCAGACATCAGGACAACTCTTACAAAATCATTAATAAGTTTCAGATTTTGATCACACTGAATGGAAGGTGACTATATGGACTTGAAAAGGTTTATTGTTTTTTTATTAGATAAAACCCATAACATAATTATGGAAGGTCCTACTCTAAATGAGCCTAAAGAAGTTTTATTGTATAATATCTGTATAATATCTAAATTTCTGTTAGCCGTATGTGCCCAGGCATGTTACCCCACTGGTGATGCTTTTTGATGTTCTACAGGACAGCATTAAAGACATAATATTTGATCTATAGAAATACTACTGAAAATTAAATATGGCAAACCCTGCACAAACAATTTGTTAATTTGTTTTTTGCAGGTTTTATGTTTTGGATTTAAGTTTGGCTTTTTCATGGGCTGTTACAGGTTGTGACTTGGGACAGGAAAGGATGAAATGACCTTGAGGCATAACCCAGTGAAGTGTCAAAGGGAAGAGTTGTCAGCAGGGAATGGGGAAAAGAGAGGGTTTGGTTAAGGTTAAGACCAGACATGGCGTTGGAGGTTGGTTAAAGGAAAGATAGATCTAAAACATTAGTGTTTATCCCCAAAATAATAGGTTGAGGAGATAACAGGATTAGAATAAAGTGTTTGAACACAGTTCCCAATAGTGCCTTCTATTCAGCACTGGTTCTCTAAGTGTGGGGCCTTTTTAGCCATCCTCTGT